ATACATACATACATACATATCTGTACACATGTGGTATCATATTATCGAATCCTCAGTCACAAGAGAACAGGTTCCTGTAATGTGTGTATGTGTGCGTTTCGAGTTCTGAGTAGGGGTAAGGGCCAGGATTAACTTGTTTAAGATCTTACTTCGACAGCTCTGGCGAGGCCTCTCACATCATAGAAGACGTGACGGCTGCCTACACCACGCAGACGCACAAATTCACGGCTGATGGCTCAGGCCCATGCCCGACAACAAACAACACAGCCCTAGACGCCTCAAACTTGGGGTGTGGTTCGGCCGAGCCGATGCACGTCCGCTGTTGTCAATTTTTGTTTCCTAGGGCCTGGGTGCAACCTCTTAATTCTGGTGCTTTTTGTTTGATAGTTTACTTTCTGGTGATAGGACCATAACCTACAGACTTAAAGATGAACCAGACCTGGGCCTTTCCTGCTTGGGACTTTAGAGCTGGGGTCCTCGTTTTTCATGTGCAGGCTCGGCTTAGAATTGCACTTCCGGACCACATGAACCATGTAAGCAAGCATGGGTATAGCACGTACGGAGTACAAGGACACCTACTTTCTAGGGTCATTTGCTTGGGGACAGCTGCCGGCAGGAAAGCTCCCGCTGAGGGTCCGCGGATTGTCGCGAAGTGGTGTCACCCTCCATGTAACAGATCTGAAGATACAAGAGACTTGGCGAAAGCTGTGTTCGTGGTTTTGGGCTTCGGGTTTCGGATTCAGCGTGCACGCGTGTCACAGGGCCAGTGATCAGTTGAGTTGGTTTTGGTTGTTCAGGGCTTGCGGTGGTGATACTTCGGTCACAGACTCAGATGATAGTGTGAGTGATGTTGCGTTATGGAGATCAGCACCTGAAGGAAAAGAAGATGCCCCGCGACAGGTAAAACGGTCAAGCCTGAAATCAAGCCGTCAGCTCTTGACTCTTGACGCTAGATGATCGCGACTTAACGCCCCAAGCCTGCCATGACTTTCCGCAGAATCTTCCTGACAGGTTTGGTGTTTTGAACGAGGGTCTGCGGGAGTGTTCAGAGTCGTATTCAAAGTCACCCTTCCGTCGCTACTTCCTCAAATCCCGAAGCCTCCAAATCCGGGGTTCGAATGTAACTAGAATCTAGACGTTAGAGGCCAACAAAATCTTCAACTCGAAGACTCTGAAGTCCTTGTGAGCAGCTAAGGACTCGGCAACGTCTACGAGTGATCAAAGCTTGCTGCCTTCATGGCTGCATATGGGGGCTGTTCGAGAGGAGTGTTATCACATGAGGTGGTCCCCGGATTGGTGATTAGTGCTACCATCCCGCCGCCTCCCCCTGTTCGCGAACAGATTGGCGTTCTCACCAGAAAAGGAAATCCAAAGCCGAGCGTGTCCTCGCTGTAGTAGAAGCAATAGTGTACTCGGCGGTGTCTATTTTGCGTTGTATACTGGAGTGGTAGCAGTATACTCCGTAGTCATCGTCGTCGTGGTAGTGGCGCTGGTGATGGTGGTAGTTTAACAGTAGCAAGTACAAGCAGTAGTAGTAGTAGTAGTAGTAGTAGTAGTAGTAGTAGTGGTAGTAGTGGTAGTAGTAGTAGTAGTAGTAGGAGGTAGTAGGAGGTAGTAGGAAGTAGTAGTAGTAGTAGTAGTAGTAGTAGTAGCAGCGGTAGTAGTAGTAGTGGTAGTGGTAGTAGTAGTAGTAGTAGTAGTAGTAGGAGGTAGTAGGAGGTAGTAGGAGGTGGTAGTAGTAGTAGTAGTAGTAGTAGTAGCAGTGGTAGTAGTAGTAGTGGTAGTAGTAGTAGTAGTAGTAGTAGTAGTAGTAATTAGTGGTACTTGTTGTTGTTGTTGTAGTAGTAGTAGTAGTAGTAGTAGTAGTCGTAGCAGTAGTAGTAGTCGTCGTCGTAGTAGTAGTAGTAGTCGCACTGGTAGTGGTAGTGGCAGTGGCATTGGTAGTAGTGCTACCTCTGCTGCTTGTACTGCTTGCAGGTCTTATGAGCTTGTGGCCCTGTATGGCATTCACCTTAAAAGCCCAAATTTCCCACTTGACAGCAGCACCGGTTTAGGAACTGTAGGCTTTAGGGTTTCAGTGTTCCGTGTGCTTTTGAGCGTATTTGGAGTTATGGTTGGCAGGTTGGTTCGTTGCATAGGATAGCCCGGTGTGGCGAAGGAGCATCGTGTGGAATCGGAGGGAATGAAGACTAAACTCTAAGCACTTCTGCGCCCGAGGATCGACCTGGAAAACAAATGCTCCGGGTCGCGCTGGGAAGTTCAGCTTCCAGCAAGCCCTGAAGGGACTCCGCATCATGACTTGTTGAGAAAGTATACCTCACAGATTCTGACTGCCTAAACCCCCTCAAGGATTATACGGTAGACGCTCAGTGCCTGAGGTCCATGAGCAAGTTGTTGTTGAACTAAGGTCACTGTTCGTTTCTGCCCATCATGCAACTATGTTGTTTGATGTTCTTTGGGGTTTGAGGTTTACTTGCCGTAGCACCCTGCAAGGTATCTGGTGACAGTGACTTACGGAGACAAGCGGACAGCAATTCAGACTTCCTCCTGCTCTGTCGGAACGGCTGGACAGAAACTAGGTCAGCAAGTTCTGGGCACCGGGCACCCGAAACCTTTCCTCAAACCTGTGAGCCCTAAAGCCTTCACCTGAATGCCACAAACATCCCTAAACCGTACACATCCTTATGCCATAAGCCTGGCGGGTTTTGAACGGATTCAAGCCCTGAACTAAACAACCCTTTGATAAACCCTACGCACACCGAAACCCTAAACCCTGAACTCTGTAAACCGGAAAGCCTTGGCCCTAAACCGCAAACATCCCTTTTACTGTACAGTCTACTGGTGTGACCCCAATGCCTAAGCAACCCTAGAAGCTGAAACCCTTGAACCGAACCCCGGGCTGACGTTGGAGGCGAAGCTTTATTTCTTGCGTTCCAAGCCATGCATCACACTTGGTCCGATTATCCGATTTGCGAGTAATGATCTCTTGCCATCTATTGCCTGTTGGTGTTTGCATAATCCCACCTATTGCAACGGCTAGCCTTGTTGGACCATGGAACTCAGCAACTAGGTGATTCATGGAAACATTCGGCCTAGGATCTAAGGTTCCAGGGTGTAGACCAACCTTGCGCACGGAACCCTAACCCTCAAACCAGTTCAAACTGATGCCCTGCAGCAGGGCCTCAAGCTTAAACCGCGTTGACTTTGCAGACGTAACCTCTTCAAGACGCTATTTGTAATTAAGACAGCGCAACATCAGAAGCCCAGATCTGAGGCGCTGAAACGCCGCATGTGAACGAGTGAGAAAGCGGCTCCTAAGTTCGGTGGAGGGGCTGCAAACGAATCCCTTTGCCGAGGATGATCAGCGCCAAGGCAAGCCCTGAAACGGTGCCCAAGGGCTCCAGCAAGAGCACCTCGGCTGTGGCGCTTAGAGGGTTTGGCCCCCCTGGCTTCAGAGGGCTGCGAGGAATTCTGAAGTCGAAATGCGCGACCCTTCGTATCGATCCCATGGTCCCTGCATATGTCGCAGGCACTGCCTGCAACAGTCGGCAGCTATATTGTGCTTGCAGAGAAGGTCGTGCATGTCATTGTTCCATCATCGTGTCATTTGCAAGTGCTACTATAGGGGTGTTGGACTAGGTACTTGGACGCTTAAGTCAATGAAGAGATTGGGTGCAGGATTCGGCTGTAGGGGCACCATAGTTAAACGCGCAGAATAGGTAGGGTGCGCTGTTGCAACCAGCAACAGCAATTCCTGCAGAACCCGCCTCTGCAAGTCTAGGATGCACAGTTCAGAAGTATGCCTGCAGTTGATTGGTCATCAGTGGGCAAAGGGTTCGGTGATGTGGTTCCGCAAGGTTTCGGATGCATGGTGTCACATCTCAGGTGTGACGCGGACGATTTTCGTCCATGGTGGCAGCGACGGGAAAGGAAAGCTGGTGCTTCTTGACGGCCTGACTGGGCCCCATTGTAAGCCCTAAACGCTGAGCCCGAGTCGCAACGACGTCTACCACCAAACAGATGATGGGAGATCACAGCAAGCTTCGCGATAAATCCCAAACCGACAGGCAACTAAACTCTGAAGCCTTTTCGTCCCAAGAGCTTCCACTGTGCGGGTCCTCCCAGGTTTGCTGGCGAGTCCGCCGGCGGCTGCACGGGCGTAAAGACCATAAGTGCCCAGGTTGCCTAAGATACCCTAACCTAAACTCCTCGACCTTCACCCATCTTCAACTTCGCTATACCCCAAACCCTAGCGTCTCTGCCCTATGAAAATAAGTTTCGCCCACCGGCTTTCAAGATCAAGATCGGTTCAGTGTGACGTTGGGGGCCCAAATAAGGCTTGTGAAAATCTAGGGGTAGTAGTTGTCATCGTCGTGAGAAGCGCCGCAAGCCGCCTAGAACCCTGATCCTCTCCGAGCCCTGAATTGTGTGCTTACAGCAGGTCGGATGTAAATGAAGGTGTTTTGAAGACTGCTTCTTGGGCTCCTCAGGAATTGAGTGGGTGCAAAATGCGAGTTTTCTTGTGTGGATACTACCTGACATGGCAAAACTGCAGTGCCCCTGAACCCTGAAATTGTCAATCCCAGTGAAAGCCAGGCCTGAACCCTGTTTCGTCCTGCTCAGGTGCCCAGCGAGAGGACCCGGTTTGGGGCTAAATTTCTCAACGACGAAGCTACTTGAAGGAGGGAAGTTCCTCTCCTTGTAGGGCGTTGGGATCGGCCCATCAAACAGTCCCATGCCTCAGTTCGTATTTAATGCAGGTTTTTTGGTTGTCAGTGCTGTCTTAGCTGATCAAAGTATTTGGTCAAGCTTGTTTTTTTTTTAACCCTCTCATGCCTGACAAAACTGGCTTGAGAAGTCATTCGCTCAGACACCCTGTTATCGAACATGCGCGTATTATCTTCTCATCCCCTAAACCCTAGACTCGAGAATCCTAAATCCTGAGACCTTAACTCAAAGCCTCCAACCCCAAACCATTTGAGTCAGGATTCCGTGTTCTGGTCCTCGTGCGGCCAGCCTTTCAGCCAGGTGGGGCGAACTCTGTGCCGTGGTTGTAGTGATTTAGCTGCTAGGGTTTGTGGGTTCGGGCGCCAGGGGTTTGGTTAGTGTCTTGGAAAGATTGTGTTTACATGACTGCTGCAGGGACCAGTAGACGACATTTGGCCATGAGTATGGGGATGAGCAATCGAAATACTATGAGCCAAAGCCATAAAGCCCAAACTCCACACTTTACATCCTAGCCTTTAGCGTTCAAGGTTTAGGATTTGAAGTCAAACCCTTGGGTTGTAAACTTACCGGAGGTCTGGGACTTGAAGGCTTCCAACCAGGCACCTGGAAACATCCAGCCGCTGAGTTGCACTGGGTTGGGGTTCAAGGTGTTTGGTCCAGGTAGGCGTTTGAATGTTTCGGACTTTAGGATTGCTGGTTTAGGCCATTGAAACCCTTGGGCTACAGGGTTTTAGATGTTTGGGATTCTTGAGACTTGGGATCGTGGTGGGATGCTTATCCGCATGTCGGCTTCAAATTCGCATCCAACTTGGGGCGCCGCAAGCCCCTTCTTCTTTATTTTTAGAAGAAAATAGTCCATGATTTGCTGCATCTGCGGGAACCCCAGTGTAGTGCAATATGCTGTTAGTGGTTACTGAACATCCAGGGTTTCTACCTACATATCCAGGACAACTGGCGCAGCTTGTGCCAGGTGCTTGTCTGATTCGTGCAAGGTGGCAATTACACTGGGATCGTGAATGAAACCTCATCTTGCCGGCTACTTCTATTTTGGAGCTGCAATTTACCGAAAGCATCAGACCGAAGCCCGATACACTAGGTCCACAAACCTTCTGTGCCGGAACCGTGCGCCCTGCAGTCCGAAATCCAGAACACCCGAAGCACTAGCAGCCCCGCAAAGACGAGCAACGCTAATCTTGTCTGGATGTGGCCTCTGGGTTTAGGATTTGGTGCGGCGTTACCAGGACGGTTTGAGGCATAGGATTTAGGGTTGCAGCGGAATTAGACTTCGAGGGGACTCTGGGGTCATGAGGCTCGTGCACCGTGCGCGGGCGGCGTCGGGAGCAGATGCAGCTGCCTGTGTCGATCCCGTTGCCCGACTCATACTTGCAAGCAGCATTTGACAAACCCCTACTGTCATTGCTGAAGCCTATCAGCCCTAAACCATGACCTCCGAAACCCTGAGGTAGGAGCCGTGCCTTTATTTCTGATAGGTGCAGAGGACTTGAAAAGTCATTTTCGTGTTTTGTTGATGCATCAGATTCTATGAAGGTAAGGTGTTGTGGGTTTCCGTTTTGTTTCTGCATTTTCGACTCAGACTGTGCTGCCAACTGAAGAACAAGAGCTTGCACTTAGAGTTATGTTTTCAGCGTTTTGTTGTTCTGCTGTTCTGTTCGGACCTTGCTTCAGGCAAATAGAGTCACGGCTTCTTTTACTGGCGGTATGTGACTAAGCAAGCATCCCCACGTACTTAGCTCTTAGATTTGTCTGACACAAAGTTGAGGCGACACTAGCTAGCGGGGACTCATGTCTTACAGCTGCTGGATATATGCGACCGCATCCTGGGCAAGCTTGTTCTTGCCACGTCACGCAGACCAAATCTGATTTCGCCTCCTCAGCTGTAACCTTGAACCCCCAAACATGAATTCCTAGATCATGAACTGAGAAAAGCGTTAATAAATTAAGACTAAGAGAGGCCATGAAGGCCAGGATCTGGGGCTTCATGAACTCTTTAAATACTGGCAATCATATTCACAAATCGTAGTGATAATTCCGAAGGTAAGAGCAATAGTCAAGAGTAAACAACATCATCAGAATGATAGGAGCCATATCAATACTGATGATAGGAGTAATAGTATAGCAATGGCAATAAGAATACTCATCATCGTCATAATCGCAATAGTAGGGCTTGTTTTTGTTGGTTTAGGCTTGAGGCTTTGGGGAGTTTCGATTTCAGCTGTGAGTCCTGCCTTAAGGCGTACGCGAAACTGGCCAAGGTTGCTTTCATCAGCGGAAGTGAAGCAGTAGTTACACATTACTCTAACTGAGCCCTAAGGCACTGGATCCTTTTTTTTTGGAAGCCCTGAACTCTCAACTCTGCATCCCAAATGAGGAATGCTGAAACCAACAAGTGACAGCCTCAAGTGTTGCCTAAGTCCCGAGAACATAGGAACACGAAATCGAATTTTTCTGAAGGCCACTGGCAAGATGGCGCTGTGCGCAACGAGCGTTGAAGCCGTCTACTCAGCTGGCGGAAGGGGTCGTGATCGAGCTGTCGGGAATGCGGGTTGCGTGGATCTAAGACATCTTTGATTTGGTCGTGACCCTCGTACACATCCCTTGTATAACTCCTAAGCTCGAGGCTGGCCCGTGAAACGTTGCTGTACTGTATGACTCAAAGCCAAAGAGCCATCAACCCCAAGATCTCCAGCCCCCCCGAGCGAAAAGATGCATTTGATAGCAATTGCTCGGCGTAAAACAATAGTTAACAGGTGCAGACAGCCGCAGCCGGCCCAACCCAGATCATGGACTCCTAGCGTTCTCATAGCCGATGTAGGGTTGTGGAGTTTCGGCTTTCAGAGAAGCTGTGCCCTTCTTGCTCAGGAGCATGCCAAGCAGGCACGCGGGAGTTGAGGGCACTTGATG